CCCTCCCGCGCTAGCCTAAGGGCCACCTTAGCAAAGCGCATCCCAGGCTGCATAGCCGCACTACCCTACCCAACCATACCACACATAAACATGACACTACCCCCGGGGTTTACACAGACGAGCCGGCGAAGCAAGAAGAGCGCCAGAAGAAAGGGCCCTAGCCGGCGGGGCCCAGCCAGGACAAAAGGAGGTCCCACAAAGCGCCTACACCGGCCGCATTTGCGGTCGGGGTAGACGACGGATGGGGCCCACCTACGAAGGCTGTCCAGGCCTACACGAGATGAGGCAGGATAAAGAGGGATAATCCCCCTCGATCCCAAATCATTGAGGCCAATTTCTAGCCATAGAATAATGGCGCGTGGCGCGATTCTAATTCATCCATTAAATTTAATTTATTACTGTTTTCGGTCATTATATTTTTTATTTAAATGCTGTAAATATATTTCTGCAGCAAAAGAGTAAACAATGTTTCCAAATAATTTATTTTAACAGTCAACAAATTGTTTTAATTACAATTTTTAATAATTAAGTGGGAAACTAGCCTCGGCCGCTACTCCACAGTTATTGTCCCTGTTACGCGCCATCTTGATGTAACCCTCTTCTCCCCAAGTGGTTCCCCAGGAGTTCTTGATCAACCAGTAATCCTGACCGTCCTCACTGCCATATCCGATGGCCAAAACGGCGTGGTCTAATTCAGTTTCAGGGTCATTTGCTCCACTACTGCAAGCTTCGTTATAATATATTCCTTCGGAATATTGCTGGAACTCTGATTGACTGGCATCAATCGCCACAGCGATTGGGCCAATGGTGGCGATTGCAGCCTTTAAGTAATTTTCGTTACCTGAAACCATTGTAAAAATGTGTCAGAAAAAAATATACTAAATTCGAAAAGATAAATTAACATCTAAAAAACGTAAAGACTAACCATTGTCTATGGTGGCGTATCCCTTGGTGGAAGTGACATTGCCTGAAGGGACATAGCGACATTCTCCATCGACACCTTCGTAGGGATAGGAATCCTCAGAATCGATACCGTCATGGTCGTGTACATAAGTAAACGCTGGGTTCATGTCACCACCGCTGCAACCTATGTTGTTGTGTTCGAAGGAGCAATCCACCAGGTTTTGCTCGCTAATGGACGGTAGTTCCCCGTGTTTTAGGAAGTACTGTCCTTCAAGAGCACCAGTCTAGAACAAAACAATATTCAGGAAGGAATCTAAGTTAAAAGATGCATAAGGCTTTCGATAAAGTCGATAGTTTTTCTTCAAATTTGATCAAATTTTGTGTATTTTATTGCTAATTTGATTTAGTCTCTTGGACAGTTTATGATAATAAATAAATAAATTATGTTCCGTTAACGAATAAATGTAAAGAAAGTGCAACTTAGTAAGGCAACATTTATAAACTTACAGAACTAAACGCCCAACAGGAGCCACAATGGCCTTGATCCTTAATAGGAGTCACAGCTCCCTTGTCCCTCCAATCAAATTCGTCGGGTATGTCCGCATCTTCGTCAGGGATGAACTGTATTACTTCGATGTTACTCACGCTTACTTTGCTCTTTTTGTATCCGTTGAGTGTGTTTTTGACTTCTTCTTGGGTTAGGTCAGAGTACTTGTTAATTTTTAAGGAATAACCCACCAGGCCTTCCTCGTAGAGTTTGTTGTGAGTTGCAACTTTATCGAAGTTTTCGAAGAAAATGGCTTTACGGGTGGTTTCCTCGTGGATGTTTCGGTATTGCCTGCCATGGGTGACCTGAAGAACGAAACATTTTTAGGAGATTTCGCTCATTGTTTTCCTTCACAAGCAGTCACATCTTAATATTTGCACAAAAATAAAAATGAGAAAATATGTTGGAAAAAAAATTATCTTTTTAAATTATTCTAAACTAAGAAAAAGCAATTGAAGTGAATGAGATTAATGATATACGCTTATTATCTTCCTTTAAAAAGGTAGATATCATTTTAGTTGAAGAAATGAAGGAAATAAATTTTGTACCTTGAAATTTTGCCATGCTGCATCCGGATCAACAGATGAAAGTGCTGCGGTGGTTAATATCACCAAAGAAGCACCTAAAGGCCAGTGTATTAGATACATTTTGCCTAGAAAAAACTAAAACTGTGTCTCAAATTCTTAAACCTCTTATACAGACTATTCGTAGGTACTTACGTAGGTACTTTTAATTTGACTGATTATTTAAATATCAGTTATTATACTCTTTTATAGATGTGTTTTAAGGTTTTTGATAAGATTTCGTCTGAGGATCTGCTGAAGATAATGTATCTTTCAATAAAATCAACGTGTAAATGAATGTCGAGTAGATACATACATGTATACAAAAATTTATAATTTGGTATATGTTACATGTTGTTTTTTGTAGTTTTTTCCCTTTTTTCATTGCATCAGCGTACCGTTTCTGAGGCATTTCAAGCATGTGCTTGTTATTTGATCTTTGGCGTTGGACTATTATCTTTTGACCTTTAACCTTTGAAATAATTTTTGTGCCGTTCTAATTCATATCAACCTTTCTAAGGCCGTTTTGATATACTATGACATACTTTACATCTGTTTTTGATATTTTTTTAAGACTCTGAAGCTGATTCGACTGATTTATGTATTTTGATACTATTTTGATTGTTGCTCTGATGTCTTTGTTATTACTTTCTTTTAACGTAACATTTACAGCCCTGTGAAGTGTGTTTTCAGGGCATTTTTTTGAACTCTTTGCAGGTTAACTTTTTCTCGTAGATTGATCATCAGTTATATTCTTTATACCTCCGTCTCCATATTGAACCCAAATTGGAAACAATAAAAACGAAAAAAGAATTATTAAATATATTTAAAAAGTCAACAATTAATAATTCAGGGGGAAACTCGCTTCAGCTGCGACACCGCAATTATTATCCCTGTTTCTAGCCATCCTGATGTAACCCTCCTCACCCCAGTCGGTCCCCCAGGAGTTCTTGATCAGCCAGTAATCCTGACCGTCCTCGGTGCCGTATCCCACCACCAAAACGGCATGGTCCAGTTCGGTTTCAGGGTCGCTTGCACCGTTGTTGCAATATGGATTGTAGTATATTCCTTCCGAGTAAAAATCGAATTCTAACTGACTGGCATCGATGGCCACCGCGATCGGACCGATGGTGGCGACGGCTGCTTTTAGATAATCCTCATTGCCTGAAAAATAATTTCAAAAAGTTTCATTACCGCAAAAAAAGTTAAGTCGAAATAGTAGCAGGCAACGGAAAATTCTATAAGATCGCCGACAAAAATATTTTAAAAAATTTTTACATTGAAATATCATTTAGAGATGCAATTTTCAACCCTCCTACCCATTAACCCTCATGAGCTAGCAACCCCAACTTAAAAAATTCAGATAGTAAATTAGTAAAGTAAATCGATTGATAGCTTTTTTATACTGATTAACAGCAGTGTTAACAGTATCAGTTTCCTAATACAGAAGATTGGTGGATTGGATTATTCTCTTTGGAGCTATTTAAAAACAAAATTTATTTTAACAGACTTGAAAATATTGAGTCCTCAAAGGAAGTAATTCGACAAGAAATCTACTCAGTCACCACGAGAAATTCTCAAAACGTCATGTTTTGTGTCATATTGTATAGTTACTGACATACTAACCATTTTCTATTGTGGCGTAGCCTCTAGTTGAAGTGACATTGCCTGAAACTGTATAGCGACATTTACCATCAACGGCTTCGTAGGGGTAGGAAGTCTCAGAATCTATTCCGTCTTGATTATGGACGTAGGTGAAGGCTGGGTTCATATCACCACCAGCACAGCCTATATTATTGTGTTCGGAGGAGCAGTCCACCAGGTTTTGTTCGCTGATGGAGACCAGATCTCCGGTTTTCAGGAAGTACTGGCCTTCAAGGGCACCGGTCTAAAAATAGATCAGAGGCCTATTAAAAAAGGAACACATCGATGCAAGGTGTGGATTGAAGCTCCTACTTACAACATTAAGACCATACTAAGCTTGGATAATTGTCATTGTTTTTGTAATTGGCTGGTATTTTCAACAGTTTTGGTATGGACAATGTTTCGGAATCAAAATTTTCCTTTAGCAGTAGGTTTTAAGAGAAAAATAAGATATAAAAAGCCAATTAAACTTTAAACTTACGACAACTGCAAAATTTTGAGACTATTTATTACAAAAAGTTATAAATATATCTCGAAATAAACAGTATTGACTTTATTTATGTTGCTGCTTTTCTAATTTTGTCAAATAATTAAAAAAACCTGAACAGAAGCATGGATACAGCCACACAAAGTCTCTAAGAACAAAAATACTTTCGTAGCTCAGACAATTATTGACGGTAGCATGAGGTAGACTGCTGTGCAAAAGGCTTTGGTTCAAAACTTTCGAGCCGGCGAAGCAAGAAGAGCGCCAGAAGAAAGGGCCCTAGCCGGCGGGGCCCAGCCAGGACAAAAGAAGGTCCCACAAAGCGCCTACACCGGCCGCTTTTGCGGTCGTGGTAGACGACAGATGGGGCCCACCTACGAAGGCTGTCCAGGCCTACACGAGATGAGGCAGAGGATAAAGATCCCAAATCATTGAGGCCAATTTCATGGAATATTGGCGCGGTTCAAAACTGTGATGTTATATGGCCTTATTTGAGACGACTACCTTATGTCTAAATAAATAGATGTAACTAAATTTCATCTTACAGAACTGAACGCCCAGCAAGACCCGCAGAAGCCTTGGTCTTTGACAGGAGTCACGGCTCCTTTTTCCCTCCAGTCGAACTCGTCGGAGACGTCAGCGTCTTCGTCGGGAACGAACTGTATAACTTCAATATCGCTCACGGTAACTTTACTTTTTCTGTAGCCGTTGAGAGTCTTCTTCATTTCCTCGTGAATCATGTCGGAGTATTGGTTGATCTTCAAGGAATATCTCACTAGACCATCCTCGTAGAGTTTGTTGTGGGAGGTGATTTTGTCGAAGTTTGTTACGAAAATTTCTTTGCGAAGTGCTTCTTCGCGAAGGTTTCTGTATTGCCTATCATAAGCCAACTAAAATAAAAGTACTACAAAATATTATCAATGCTAGACATCTTGAATTAATCCAAAACAACATACAACAGCAACAGGAGTAAAGCGCGAATGATACGCACAAGTTCACTTTTCACCTGAGTTACTGACATGATAGCAGGGTAGTAGATGGGCAAAAACAAACGGTCAACATTTATGTTAGATTTCAGTTCATCGGAATATTGTGAACATATCAAAATACTTTTTTTTATTGTTAAATAATGGCAAATGCTCTTAGTTTTGACATACAGGAAAAAAATTAAAGAAAACTTTTTACCTTAAAGTGTTGCCATGCGACATCTGCCTCACTGGATGAAGGTGCTGAACTAACCAGTACCACCAAAGTGAAAACTAAAAGCCACTGTATTAGAAGCATTTTATTTGGAAGGAAATAATATGTCAATATTGTATATTTATGTATTTTTAATTATTTGGATATATAAAAATACTTTCACAAGATAGAAAAATCACTCTATCGTGTAGATATTCACTTGCTTTTACTCTCAGACAAGTAATAGCAACCAATTTATCAATTACTCCTTAGGTCCTTTAAAAGTTTCCAATATTGTTTTGTCTGTAGATCATCGCGAAGATAATGTATCTTTCTGTGAAATCAGCGTCGTTAGAAAAACTTAAAATTAAAATCGGGAAAATATAAAGTTGTTTGTAACTCATATCCCAACAATATATGATTATAATATAATGGGAGGAAAGCAGATAAAAAATTGTACAAGTTTGCCTTGTAACTAAGTGCGTGTGCAATTTTTAAAGATTTTAAAAGTTACAGGATACTGAATTAAAACAAAATAAAACTCTCATATTAATATTTCACAAGTGAAGGGAATCTGATGGAATAAGTCCAAGTAAAACGTGGAAACAAAAAGATCTCTGATGTAGCTGTCAAGTCGGTATACAGGGTGTTCCATATAGACCTTCAATCAGACGTTTCTGGAAAACTACGCGTACTGGAATTCTGAAAATTTATGTACGGGGGTTTCTCCTAATGTTCTATCGATTGAAAATTTACGGCAACGACAGCAAATCTGTTAAATAAGTAATGACACTTGGTGACATTTAAATGTTTTTCCACAGCCAACCTACAGCTAACTGTCGGATTATATTCGTCTCTGTACTTATGTTCAAATATCTCAAAATCGGTGGGATTTAGGTACAGGGAATGCTTATACCAATGGAAAGAGAATTAACAGGTGCATCTACTGTGTTCTATTTAAAATAAGCGAGTTATTAAAATTTCAATTTGACACAATTGGTCCGTATTTTTTAGACGCCCTGTGTAACATGCACCAATTTTCGAATATTACAGATATTTGGACACCTTTTGGTATTGACCATCTAAAATTTCTGCTTCCTATCTTAAAAATTGGAGGAGATAGAACCGATTAAGTGTAGGTATGTTTTTTTCAAAAATTTTGAAAAAGTCAAAATATTTCAAAAACTATTGAGTTTAAGGATAAAGTAAGGTTATGAAACTTACCTTAAAATTCGATGTAGAATCCAAAAATTAAATAAAAAATAGTACATTCCATTTGAAATAAGCGAGTTGACGTCTACTTCCGGTAGAACCGGAAGTTCCACGGCGACGCCAATATTTTCAATCGATAGAACATTAGGAGAAACCCCCGTACATAAATTTTCAGAATTCCATTACGCGTAGTTTTCCAGAAACGTCAAATTGAAGGTATATCTGGAACACCCTGTATTTCTATGAACGATTGCATTATTTAACAACTTCGACTGCTATCGAAGAACAGTGACTTCATTTGATATTTAAAAAGAAAATTTCTTGAGTTTCAAAGAAATATTTAATTTATTTTCAATTTTGACTATAAAATCTTTTTAAAAAATGTGTGTGATGTGGCAGGTTTGCAATTTTTTTATATCTTATATTTCCTTCATTTTATTTACACTTGCTCTTGAAAATTTTATAAAAAAATAAAGTTAGACCGAATTTTATATGTGTATTGTAAATTCAATAAAAAGTATGTAATTTTTGGTTATTAATATAAATCAATCAAATTTTAATGGGAGATTTATACTGCGCTGTTCTAAATGAAACCAAATATAATTATTTTTAAGAAGTCTATAGAAAGTAAACCTAACGATGACAAGCTATTTTGAAAGTAAGAGTTGTCTCCTTGATTTCAAGTACTGTCAAATAGATATTAGTTGTAAATTAATAAAAATTGCAAGATAGTAGGATTGTATTCATCCTGTATTAGGTACTGCGTATATAATACCTAAGTTATCAAAATCTTTTAGCGATTTCAATCTGTGACGTCCAAGTTATAAAAATGTATAGAAGTACAGATAAATATTCCAGTTCTTTATTATTGAAATGATCTAAAATTATCAAATTAAGGTTAAGTAGAGTAACCATAGGCTAGACTTCGCCTGTAATCAATACCTATATTTTAAATAAAGACATTTATTATTGTTATATTTGTTTAATACAGGGTGTTTGTTAAAGAATGGGTCAAATTCTACCACTAGATTCTACGACGAAAATTAATGGGGAAAAGTTATATACAACGTTGCTCAACGCTTAGTTTTCGAGATATGGGGTGTTGAAGTTGAAAATAAGATCATGTATAAATTTTTTTAAAAACAAGCTTTTAGTGACGTCATTGTATTTTCGTTTTCTTCTCAGCAAACCCTTTTATTTGATATCCACGTCATGAGGGTGCATAAAAAATAACTGGTCCGCCATCTTTGGGAGTCCGCCATATTGGATTTAGAATGACGTCATTTAGCTAACCATGCATTGTCATCCAAACTAAACGTGTTTGAAAATTGAGTTGCAAGGGTCAAAACCGATACTAAAAGGGAGAGTTGAATAAAAGCTTTAAAATAAAAACATTTTCTTTAATATCATCCGACTACTTCGAGTTAATTTCGTATCCGGGGGTTCTTTGAGATGATGAAATAACAAACAAATTATAATAATCCTCATTAGTATAATTTAAACGATCCCCAAGCATTTTTATTTAAATTTTCGGCAGAAACTATTACAATAATTTAACAACTAACTTGACAAATGTCAAGTTATTTTAATTGTTTTGGGAGTTTTTCGGGTCATGGCCATTTTGATAACAGGTCTTATACGAGAAAAACTGTCCAAAAAATAGAAAATTGCAAATATTTCTAAAAGTAGTAACGGCAACCCTAACAATGCTTATATGGCCTGAAAGGAAATTTCAATCTGCATACGACAGAGGGTAATACAGGGTGTCCCATTTAAGTTAACAAAGTTATAGCTGTTTGAAGGTATCTAAATGTAACAGCAAAAATGAAACACCTAATATTAAATGTTTTAATTTGTTGGTATACCATAATAGTCCAGACGGTATCTGTTTCAAAAGTGATATTTGGGAGAATCGTATATCCACGGAGATTTTTGGCTTTTTGGCTTTCAAATATCACTAGAAATGAAAATTTTTCTATGCGCATAAAAAAAGACGTGGGCTTAACTTTTGGCGGCACAATATGTTAAAAAAATTCGAAAAATGTCATATTTTTCTTCGTATTTAATTATGTATCTTTTCAAGAGTTGATTTTAGGCGAAAATGGAAGAGGAAAAAATTGTTTATAATTAAATTTTTTACAAAACCTGTCTAGTTACAAATCGAATGAATCATGATTATTATGGTAAAAATCGAAAAAATCGCAAATATGGGGTTAAAAAACAATACTTCTTAGGGAATTTTTTTGGGTTATTTAAATTGGGTATAGGACCTTTAAACTTGGTTCAAGAAAACTTCATGTTATGTAGAATTATCACACCAAATTTCATCAAAATCGTATTGATAGATTTTGCATAATAATTTTGCAATCCAGATTTTGAAAAAAAATTAGAAAATTTTCAAAATTTTGCACGACAAAAACCAAGGCTCTTAGATACTTGAACATTTAATCACATATAGAAGGGCTCTCAAGCTTTCAAACTTTTTTTGAAAAATTCAAATCCGTCATTTAGGAGAGCTCTGGAACTTGTTTAAACATTTATCGAATTTTTGTATTTATAACAATTAGAACTTTGTGAATATTCAATCAAATCAAATTTTTTAAAGCAGGTTTTAAAAGTTCTTGGAAAGACGCTTCTTTAAAAAATAAACAGATCGATTGATCAATTAGTTACGTAGTTATAGCCGTCATTCACACTAAATGTACTGGGACATCCGGGCTAATTTTTCGAAAAATACCTTTGGTATTCCGAGTACTTACCAGGTCTTAGATTACAATACTTTTCCTCATTGGCAACCAACTTTAAAACGTGTTTAAAGTTATTTATGCAAGCGAGAAATTCAATAAAATCGTACGGGTGGTAGTGGTGGGGGAAGCAGAGAGCGCGGCCGCTTCGGCCTGCTCGAAATTGAATGGCTATAACTACGTAACTAATTGATCCATCGATCTGTTTTTTTAAAGAAGCATCTTTCCAAGAACTTTTAAAACCTGTTTTAAAAAAATTGATTTGATTGAATATTCACAAAGTTAATCTAATTTTTTATAAGTACAAAAATTCGATCAATGTTTAAACAAGCGCCAGAGCTCTCCTAATTGACGTATTCGAATTTTTCAAAAAAAGTTTGAAAACTTGAGAGCCCTTCTATACGTGATTAAATTTTCAAGTATCTAAGGGGCTTGGGTTTTGCTGTACAAAATTTTGAAAATTTGCAAATCTTGTTTTCAAAATCTGAATTGCAAAATTATTATGCAAAATCTATCGAACCGATTTTGATGAAATTTGTTCTGATAATTCTACATAAAATGAAGTTTTCTTGAGCCAAGTATAAAGGCCCTATACCCAATTTAAATAACCCAAAAAAATGTCCTAAAAAGTATTGTTTTAACCCCATTTTTGCGATTTTTTCGATTTTTACCATAATAATCATGATTCATTCGATTTGTAACTAGTCATGTTTTGTATAAATAATTTAATTACAAACATTTTTTTCCTCTTCCATTTTCGCCTAAAATTAACTCTTACATAATTAAATAGGAAGAAAAATATGACATTTTTCGAATTTTTATAACATATTGTGCTGCCAAAAGTTAAGCCCACGTTTTTTTTATTCGCATAGAAAAATTTTAATTTCTAGTGATATTTGAAAGCCAAAAATCCAAAAATCTCCGTGAATATACGATTCACCCAAACCAAAACAGATACCGCCTAGTCTATAATTTAATGTTATCTATGCCCTTTACAGATACCAACTTGAAATCAACTTGATATCACGCTCCTTAAAACAGTTACTAGTGCAAGGGTCGGCAACTGGCGGACCGCGGTCCAGGTCCGGACCGCGGAAGGTAAAAATACTGGACCGCCAAAAATTTTTTGAAAGTATAAATTACTCAAATATATTTAAAAAATGTTTTTTACGTTTAAGTGCCAATCTTATTATTTTTTCTAGTATTTTACAATTGTGTGAGTGTGTGAGTTCTTAATGGTTAGTAAGCAAATTAAATTTGAGTCCAAAGTAAAATAAAAAAAATAAGAAATATGAATTTTTTTCTGGACCTCGTTAAAAATTTTCAAAAGTATCCGGACCGCGCCTAAAATTACTTGCCGACCCCTGTACTAGTGTCTCTGCGGAGCCTTGCATCTGTCAGATTTTTTCTTTAAAAATTAATATCTCAAAATCTGTAACTCCTCTGTAACTCCTAAATAAAACTAATAAAGTGCACCACAAATTTTACTTAGAATCCAAAAATGCAATAATATATAGGGTGTCCCATTTAAAATAACAAAGTTAATGTTGACTTCCGGTATAACCGGAAGCACCATAAACTTCTAAATATTTTAGCTGTGTTTACCCTCCTTCCTTTGCTAGGTTGCCAAATTTTCAGATTTATCGAAACGGTACTTTTCGAGATATTGATAGTGGCGATTCCTGGTGATTCCTTTTGAGCATACGTGTGCTCTTGTACACATTAGTCTTATGCTTTTGATTTGCTATAACTCACAAGAAGTCTAATAATTAAAAAGGACAAATTACTGAAAACTTTATTTAATTTAATTATGATTTCAAAGACTGTATGCCACGCGGTTTTATGTGTACACTAAGGCCTTCAAAGGAGTGGAGTTTCTTCACAAAAAATATTTGGACAGTTTCCTTGTAATGGAAAAGTGATACGCCAGAATTAATTTCCATGAAATTTTCTGTTGGTTTGTCTTCCATGAACCACAACGTGTTCTGTTTGTTTGTACATAAATTTTAGCGCTTATTGTTAGAAATAGGGCAAAACAAAATAACAACCTACCTAGATAAGTTTTATTAAAAATACACTTTACTAAGAATACATAAATATTACATGAGGATGATTACATTAAAATTCATTATTAGATACAACATTATCTTCTGGTACTTTTATTTTCCTCGACAGTAACGTTACCACTAGGTTTTTCACTGGTCAATAACAGTTTATCTCTAGAAAAAGCACGGGGTCTGATATGTGTCATAAATAGGACAAATATATTTACTCTTACTCTGGGTTTTTCTGCTTTCTCATTTTCTGTTTTTAAGAACTTATAAAGTGGTTCGAAATATTCCAAGAGAGGCTCGGCACTGACCTTTTTCGTCCCCGTAAGGATCTCTAAGGTTTCGCTCCAATGCTTACTAGATCCAAGCTGTAAACCAGCCCTGTAAGAAAAAGATTCTTTAAATACGTAAAACTTAAATGAAATCTCACTCACCTTAGTTTGTCCCCTGCCGCGACAGACTTGTAGAAATCGCAGTTGTGAAGTGGAACGGTCTTATTTACTGGATCGTACTCCTGGGCGGCTATGCATAAGCTCTTGTAGAACTGGAATTGTAGAATGTGGGCCAAGAAATAACTGAAAAGTTAAACCAGTCATTAACGTCGCATTCTCCATTTAGTACAACTTACGCGATGTATTGGGAATCTCCAGGCACGTGGAACTTTGCACCAGGATCGAAATCTGTTTCATCGGATCTCTCTATGGGAGCTTTGACCTTTTGGTACTTCTTCCTGTAGTCCCACCAATGGGAATTCCATTTGTTTTCTGGTACGGAGCCGCTGAAGACGTCCCATCTCCATTTGTCGATGAGGAGTCCGAAGGGAAGGAAAGCTATCTTCTCCAAGGCCATATGCATGAGTGAATTGATGGAAGCCTCGTAACTAAAATACATTGGATTATTGAAGGGAAGATTAAAAATGATTTAGAATATACGTTTCTGTGTAGTTCTTCAGCAAATTGATCTTCTTCAAGTGGTTCGGCGTGGCAACGGATAAGGCCATCGTATCACCGATGGCTTCATGAAATCCTGGGTTGGCGCCTTCTCTGAAAGCGTACGGTTGATTTTTGTACTGGAGGTAGTACTGGATGTGGCCCATTTCGTGGTGGATTGTAATGAAGTCTTCGTAATTTACCTCTGTACACATTTTCAGTCTGAAAACAAATGCAAGAATGAAAGTTTTTCATGTTTTCCAGACCAATGATAGACCCGCATATAACGAGCGTTCAAATAAAAACGTAGTCGAAGTTGGCTCTGACACATTAGACGTAGGGAGTAGCTTATAGCGACCAACTTAACCTCATTTCTCAACGAGCTGTATAGCAGCTGTCAGTTTCAATAACGTTAATGACTATATAACTTTATTTTAAAGAATAATCGTGATAACAATAACAAACAATTAAAGGAGCTGCGGAAAGTGTCCCCCTCCTTGTTATAACAATAAATTAAAGCAGCTGCTGAAAGTGTCCCCCTCCTTGTTCCAAGCACTTTTCACACCTGTTCCTCAAAGAATTAAAGACATTTTCTAAGATGCTCGGGGTATTGTTAATTTCACGAATCTTGNTTGTCTGAAAGATTTTGTATATAAAACACAGAATCAAAATGAAGATTGTTTACTGTTCCATCATTATTTCATTATTATCATGATTAAAATATGAAATATAAAAAATCGGGTCATTGCGCGCGTTTAAAAACCATGTTTGATGCGGCCTTCGGAATCACCCCGTATACTTCATACTATTTTAAAAATGTCCCCCTTAAGGCGCCTAAAAATTATTCTCTATCTGTATGGAATAGGAATAATATTATCACTATTGGCCCGCCCTGTATGATTATCCCTAGTAATGGAAAAAAAACTTTAAATATGCAGGTATTGAATGTTGCGAACAATAATTAAAAAAGTAGATTTTAATATTTTATTTAAAAAAAAATTCAATATTCTTATTTAACTAACTAGGAAATGTTAACATATCATTAATAAAATAATATATTTTAAAATATCAAATGCAACTGTTATCGGATTAATTATTATTCACCCTATTGAATACAACAGTTTTTGGTGCCACGGTGTATATCTCCAAACAACACTCCCAGTCCGAAACATACCTAATTATTTGTGGTGGGGCGCGAGAGAATGAGAGCGACCCAACTAGTGGGGACTTTAAGTTGCCCATCACTGTACAATAAAACTAAAAGATTGTAGTGACACAGCTATTGGCTGTGGTAGTAACTCAGAAATAATTACGTTTACGTGAGGAAAGAGAGGTATTTCGTGTCAAATAGAACACCAAGATCTGTAAACGAGTGTACTCGAAAAATGGATTGAGTACTGATAAGCAGCTAAAAATACACGATATTACATTTTTTAAGTGTTTAGTTCAAGCTTATTCGTAGTACACCAAATTACTAATCAGCTGAAGATATTTTTGTAGTCCGATACAATTTTGTACTTTTGTACTAGGTACTTTTAATTTTTTGTCTACAAATAATACGAATTTCGTGCTGTTTGCAGACATATTGGTGCGGAAGTTGAGGTAAGACCGAAATAACTTTAGAGCTTATTGAGCAAAAGAAGGTGATCTAATAAGCATAATCTTTTGTTTTTGTCATATATTGCGTTGTATTCATAAGGTTTGTTCATAAAAACCTTGCCGAAATGGCTAAATCGATTTTTTTTTGTTAGAGGGACATTAAATAGTTATTTTTGTATCTAGAACGCGAAATGGTACTTTTGTGTTTAAGGTCCTCTATTGGTGGGATCTTTTGCGATATTAGTAAGGCATTCGATTGCGTCAACCATCAAAAATTATTTTCTAAAATGTTTTCTAATGGTATAAGGAGTCTGGCACTGAATATAGTACAAAATTTCCTCGAAAAACCTGTCATTTTAAGCCAATTGCATACTGTAATTTCGACAGTTGCCAATGTCAACCTTCAAATTTTTCGGAAATTTTTTTCCTCCTGCCAAGTTAGTTGCAAACAAAATTAATAAGTGGAAATTTTTTTTGACAGCCATCATATGGTTCAAACATCAGTACCTATCCAGAGTTTTGCTTTGTAATGTTTTTATTTATTTTAAAATAATAAATAGCTAATTATTTACCAAATATTTGTTCCGAGATTTATTCTATTAACGCTAAATGTTTTTGAAATTCTGGCTGGAACTCCTCTTCGCAACGGAGAGTAACGAGGAGCATAATTATTACCTTTATTTTTCATTTCCATCAGATGTTTGTGTTTCATAAAATATATGTAATAATTTGATGAAATTTTGTTCTGCTGAGCCCTGGTTTTACGTAAAAAAGGTTTTCTTGATGCGGACTGATTCCAGTTTTTTTCAGTAAATATAGCAAATACTTTAAATTTTTATGAGACATAAGAATGTCACCTATTTTGGTGCAAGAATTACATATACTATAAGGTTTTAAATTAGTTTTTTGGTTGTTCACTGCCATGATTTAATTGTAAACAATTAACAGCTAAAGAAAATGACTGTCAACGTGACGTATAGCGAAGACGATTTTGACATCACAAGCCTAAACCTACTTGATTGCAGTATGATTTTTTAGGAAACGTTGATATATTGCCATAGACATCGGTTTTCCACAAAAACTTACTTTCCTTCTATTTTAGAAATAGTAATTAATTATACTGCAAACATAAATATCTGAATTCAAAAATTAAATGCCTTTTTTATTACTAAAATGGATGTAATGTGCTATTTTTTATGTTTAATAAGGATCATTAATAAACTATCATAGACATCGCATTTCTACAAAAACTTACTTTCCTTCTATTTTAGTAATACTAAGTGAATTGTATTGCAAAGGTAAATATTTAAATTCAAAAATTAAATGCCTTTTTTATTACTAAAGTGAAAGGAATATGTTTTTTTATGTTTTATTAAGAACCATTAAAAATATGTCATGCACCACAAAACAATGTCTACCTGTTAAGGCAACTTTATTTTGGCGAAATAAGTTTAAAAATGAAACATGTCAATTTTTTAAAATAAATTTTGGGTGTAAAATTTTCTTACCGAATCCCCCACGTCCTTGAATTAATGTCCGGAAATTTTCAATCACGCATTTTTCTAGAAAATGCGTTCCTTCAGAAAAATGTCCGGAAATAATTCAAGCACTAGGGAGATTATAAGTGAAAATCGGTCTTGGTATGTTACTTTAAAAGCCAACAGTTCTGCGTACTACCCTGTACAAGTGGGTGTTTCACAAGGTTTAAGTCTGGGCCCAGAGCTTTTCTTACATAGAAGTTTTACCATCTATGCCGATAACACTTCCCGAATTAGTTCGAATTCTAATAAGAGAAACATAGAAACAAAGAGCGACCGAAATTTTCGCCCCTTTGTGAGACCTCAAAAAAAACTTGTTATAAATTAAATATTACTGAAAGAGCCTATTATCACGATTCACCTACCTGTAAGTTTCCCCGTCGCAAAAGTCCCAGGCGCTGGCATGGCACACGACCTCCCTACCATCCGTGGGTTTGTTTATCATGGCCCCAGCGCTCTCGTTGTAACACATCCCCATGGGTAGCAACCCCAGCGACTGGTAGAACTCGTCCGCCGTCTTGAAGAGGTCCAGCACCGTGTATTTTTGCTCGACCAAGGCGGAATCCACGTCCATCTTGCTGACGTTGGGGAAGGGCACCACCAAGTCGGCGATGTTGCCCCACGACTGCGCCCACATGTTGCCGAAGACGTGGGCGGGGATGAGGCCGTCGGAGACGTTGAGTTTGTCGCCGTAGCGTTGCTTCAGTTTCCTACCGACGTATTTGTGGAGCTCGTTGTAGAGGGGTTCCACCTGGGTCCAGATGTCGTCCATGTTCTGGACGAAGCCGTCGTCTTCGTAGGCGAAGCGCCAATACGCGCCTCTGTCGCTGAAATCTACCCCACGCATTAGTTAAATAATTTTAAAAAAGTAAATGTCTGATGTGGCATAATGTATCATAAAATAATTGGCCCTTACTTTTTGGAAGAAAATCTTAATTAAAATTCGTATTTGGAAACTCTCAATAATTTTGTTTTGGCAGAACTAGGGACCGAAAATTTAGAGTTCAGAAGAAAATTAATTGCCCCATTTTATTATTATCAATACCTTGCTCTAAAAGCTATAAAAAAAACATGAATAATGTTATTCACCCACTTACTATTAGCTTTTGCGGCTTCGTTGGCCAGTGTGACGTAAGTCGGGTACAATTTTTTTATTTTGACCCCTGTGGCGTCCCTCCAGGATTTCCAAGTATAAACCAGTTCGTCGTAGTCGGTGGATTTTGCCATAACGTTTTCGATATCTGGTGAGAAATTTACCGTTTGAAAAACAGCGGTATTAAAACATGGATTTATTCATTTTACCTGGTTCCAAACCCAGGCCGTCTTTCGTCACGTCGCACTGCTGTTTCTTATAAGGGCATATTTTTCCAGTGCCGTATATGCCAGTCATCGTATTCGTGGTGTTCGTCAGCTGTAAATATTTGGTTAAATTTCTTTAAGCGGTTTATTATTTTTTTAAAATATTTATTAATAGCTTGAGAACTTTATTTTGGACGACTAATTGTTGAAATATACAGGGTGTTCCAATTAAAACTTCTGAGGCGCCATTTAAAGTTTAAGGGTATTTTATTGCCTAAGAGGTATAGCATCCAAGACATCAAAACTTACGCCATCACGTTTGAAAAGAATATCGACGTATCTCAGGGTTTTTTTTGTTTATTTTTTAATTCTGATATTTTCCGGGTGTGAGGTTTTAATTGGAACACCCTGTATGTCCATTTTGCAAACATTTATTATATTCGGTACGTAATCTGAAAAATGTTACTTTCTATAACTTATCGTTACTAGAATTTGCTTCTACGGATATCTACATACAAAGGAACATAGTTTTGGTTTACAATAATGTTAGAAATGTTATCTTTTAGACATAAATATACATAAGTATATTTTTATCGTCTACGTTTTATTTGTAACGAAATATAAACAACGCTTCATTTTCTTTTACAAAGAAAATTGTTTACTTCAAAAAATCGGTATTTTTACCTACCTAAGTATTATTTTTGGTTGGCCTAACTTATAAAACTTTTTTGTAATCACAGTAATACTTCGATTGTGGTCATAATTATCGGAGACAAAATTTATTTTAGTAGAAGATGCTGTAAATACTTTAAAAATGTTACCTGAGCCAATTTTTCTTTATCCAGAGCAGCATCCCCCAAAAGATGGGCCGTACGAACCTGTCTTTTCAAAGAGGGATCAGAATAGTCATTTGGTTCGATGTCTTTGAAATATTTGCTCCAAATGTTCTTAACCCAGTCCGCAATTTCGAGCACAGTGGTAGTCTAAAAACAAATCAGTTAAGAGAAGTGAGCTGCATTTAGTAAAATACAATATTGGTTCTTTTATAGTTACAATAACATATCTTTGAAGATGATAGAAGGAACATATCAAACTACTTACAGTCAATTCTTCTTTGGTTTTATTGTTGATATCTGTCTCATAGTCAAATTCGGCTACATTCGCTTTGTAACAATTCTGGCTAGCTTCCTTCTCGTATTTGGTTTCTAGGAATCTCTTCAGTTCATCTTCTGTTAATTTCGCTTGGGAGCATATGAATAGAGATAGAAACAGGGGCAAAAGCAGCTGAAAAAAAAAGAGATCGTGACTGACTCTGTCTGTACTATTTTGAAAGTCGAAGTTCCTACCATTTTAAGCATTTATCGATTGGAATATAACTACAATATTTTGCTAAAATTTAATGACACAAACTTACATCAAACTGACGGAATATACGTCAAAAAGAGTTATGGTTATTTTTTTTTTTCGCCTAGCATATGTGAAAAAAATCATATTGGCCCTAAAAATATGACCTAAAGTAATATTTATCGGCCGTTGGGCCGATAAACTTATAACAACACGATTTTGTCGTTTTTCACAATCTCGACACCTTTGCTTGTCATTTGCATACTTTGACGTTGTACATAATTTTTCTTTAAACTACAATTTGGAATCAAAACAAACAACAAAGTAAAATAACAATAAGTTGTGAACAACTGTAATTCTGTGAATAAGTTAAAATGAATGGTAAAAATTTAGTTTCGGCAAGCTGAATTTATCACTATAGATGCTAAATATTATGTACAATACCTATCTTAGGATCAAGGTAAACTAAGTTGAATTAATTATGTTTTTTTATTAGCATTGCATTATAGGTTTCTCTTATTATACGGAGCTTGTAGTCGAAATGAGTTGTTCAATATATGAAACTTGACCACATAGATAATAGAGGAGACATATTGATTGTCACAGTTCCACAAACAAAAAATTATATTACAAGAACGTAGTCACAAACAAACCAATTGATGAATTGAATCTACTTACAATATACAACAAAATGTTTTCTTTAGACCTACCCACACTCCTCATAATCGCCTGTTCATTTATTACTACAATAAAACATGCACAGTGCAATCTATCGGAAAAAATAAGGTTCATCACGTTTCTCAAAAAATCCTGATAAACCCAAAACAACAGTCTAGTACAACAGAAATAACACAACTAAAGTATTAAATATTTCCGACCAAATAAATGAAATACAAGTTAATATAAACAATTCCAATGAACCATCAAGATCATCAAAGCTCTGTGAACAACTTGGGTTGTTCAAATATTTGACCAATTAGAAGTTATTCCTGACTAAACAAAGTTGATCATCATCACTAGCACAGGAGTGAAAATTCTTATATTTCTCGAACAATAATTGTTTATATTTACTTTTTAACAATAAATACAATAAAAAGTAAAATGCCACTTTCGCCGCGAACAATTTGTTTATACTTAGCATGAAAATCTAAAAAAAAAAAATAAATTGAATTGTAATATATTGCGGTTGCGGCTACGCAATTTACTAGTAATGACAATTTCAATGCTGTTGTGCGACACACCGTAACATTGTGTGTAATTATTTTTTCTAACGCATTAGTGTCTTAAAATTAGGCATTCGATTAGTGATCACTCATTCACGCGATAGAAAAAATGACTATGGAGTAAATTAAAAACAAATTAACCGATTTGTTAATTGGGTTTTAAGACCTCAATCGTTAAGTATTTCTAAATAAAAATAATGTCATTAGGTGTGATTCCAGGTAAGCAACCTCATGATCAAAGTTCACCTTGTGATCTCTTTTTTGTAATAGAAGGTTGGCTGCGGCTGAATTATAACAGTTTGTTGTTTGTTTATTATTATTATTGACGCCATAGATTTCAAAAGATAAAAATAAATGATAACGTTACGGTTTGGGGCACAATATTTTGTAATATATAAATAATAAGTTGTTTCCGAAAAGTTTACGGTGCTGCACAAATGCAATTTTTGTTTTTTTATTAAAACTGGAGCAATTGTATTTAGCAAGTAGTATAATTGCAGGAAATAGAATTTGTTGGACAAGGTTGGGTAGGAAGAAATATGCATTTTAGAGAATAATTTATGAAATATTGTACCGGGTGGACTCTTTTGGTGACGCATGTATTGGGATCTTAGAAACTGTGAGGCAGAAATAAGAGTTATATTAGAGAAGCGGTTAAACGGGGAGTTCTTGACCATTTCAGTAGGTGACTGACGGAGCTTGCATATTGGTTTTAGTTGTTTGGGGTTTTGCAAAAATATCAGCCATAACTTTTTTATTTTTATGATTTTTTTTTAATGTTTGTACAGACATGAATGTTGCAACTTTTTGTATACATTGTAATTTCAGGCTTTTGTTCAGTTCTCTTTCCTCATATATGTTTTTCGTCACGCTATTGATTTTTTTGCACCTATATGGCGTTGTCGAAAAGCGAACAAATTTGTATAAATTTAGAAGATCAGTATTTTAAACATAGCCTTAAATTAGCTACTATAATTTGTAAAGTAATACAATTTGTAAAGTAATACAATAACAATAATCTCGCGGATAGGACTTTTTTTGAGTTTCTCTTTTACTTTCACTAATTTTCCTAGTGTATATGTATAATAACGAGCGTTCAAATAAAAACGTGGTCAAGTTGGTTCTGAAAATTTGGACGTAGGGCGTAGCGTATAGCAAATGAACTTAAACGTCATCTGTCAAAGCGCTATATCGCCGCTATCAATTTTAATATTTTCGTTTTAAAAAGCGTTTAAAATGGTGTTTTCTCAAGAACAAAAAGTGTTTATCATAGAGTCCTACTTTAGAAATGGACGCAAGATTGATGGAATATGGAAGTATTCTATTGAGGAATGTTTCATAGAATTTCAAAATCAATTTCCCGGCGTTGTTGAGTACAAAATTTTTCAAAGTGCAGTTCAGCGTTGTGTTAATGTTTTTCGTGAAACGGGCAGTGTAACAAGAAAAGAAGGAAGCGGCCGACCTAAAAAGCGGACTGAAGAATTAAAAGAAAATGTCCAACAAATAATGGAAAATGCGCCAAGAACTTCTGTACGTGTTTTATCACA